GAATGCAGCTGCCAGACTCATTCCCCTTACCAACCGCTCAGTGTCTGCAACCCCCCTCTGCCAATCCCTGCACTGGCTTCCACTCGCCGAGAGGATAAAATTCAAAATATATAACAGTCACTTATAAGCCATCCACAACTCCGCCCCCGGCTATATCTCAGACCTTGTCTCAAAGTATCACCCTAAGCGTCGGCTCCCCTCATCCATTGACCTCCTGCTTTCCAGCTCCCTTGTCCACTCCTCCCATACTCGCCCTCAGGACTTCTCTAGAGTCTCTCCCATCCTCTGGAACTCTTTACCCCAACCTGTCCGTCTATCTCCCACTCTGACCGCCTTTAGGCGATCCCTAAAGACTCATCTCTTCAAGGAAGCCTATCCCACCTCAACCTGACCACTGAACCTTCACATTCTCAAATAATTAATCCCCACACAGCTACCTCCTCATCTATCACTTCCCCCTCCTCTTTCAGATTGTAAGCCCTCAGGGGCAGGGCCCTCCTTACCATCTTGTCTTGAATTGTAATGTCTTCCTTATATTGTAAAGCACTGCGCAAACTGTTGGCACTCTATAAATACTATGTAATAATAATTTCTGCCGGTAAAGGTTTGCACACACTGCTTGCCCACTGATGATTACATTTTTGCCCTCATATTGACGTCGGTAGAGATGTTTGCATATTCACACATTTCCGTGGTACCATAATAACCAATAGCTTTCCATCTTTCCCACAGGAAGTGAAAAAGCTGATGGGTTCCATAAGGATCCTATGTTATCACAAAATGGAGGTCTTAACAAAGGCTCTTCCAAGACTTTCCTCGCAGAAAATGTCCAGCCCGTTGGTACAAATCTTACACCTATAATGCGCTGCCTGGAAAGAGTTCATAGACCTAAGAGGAATGCATCACAAGATCAAAACCTACCTCACGTCATGAAAGGTTCCTCTTCACCCGCCAAGGAGAGACGTGACTCTTGCGTTATGGAATGCGCTCGTTTTCAAGCGGGGGAGGAGCCGCCTTTGACTTTTAAAGCTAAGGAACGGATTGACCTAAACCATATGAAGGAAAGATTAGCAGACTTCAACGTGTATCCAAAAGCAGAAGCTGCAAATAGAAATAGAAACAAATTGGAATCAAAATCCGGTGAGGGTCAACGTTATGTTGAGACTGATATGTGCCCGACAGGAAATGACCCGACATTTCCTATTAATAACGACCCGTACATACAAATGAGTCTGCTAGAGAATAACATTGTCGCATCCCCGGACCGAGCCGGTATGGAGTACGAAGAAGTGGAAGCGGAAACAGACGAGGGTGCTCGAGGCCTAGCGGACCCCTACGGAGATCCAAGATTTGTTCCATCTCTCAATGAGGAGATTGTGTTTAATTTTCACGAGGCGAGTCATACGGGCCAGAAACTGTTTGTGTGCAGCGAATGTGGCGAATGTTTTCCAAAGAATTCGCAGCTGGTGGAACATCATCGCCTGCACAGCGCTGAAAAACCCTTTGCTTGCCCCGAATGCGGAAAACAGTTTGCCGACCGCGCCAATGTCATCGCGCATCAGTTGGTGCACGCTAAGCTCTGTGCGCCCGTGAGAGAGCGATCCTCGGGGGAGGGGCGTGTTGTGTGTTCGGAATGCGGGATGACTTTGGCCGACGGCTCCGCCTTTGAGGAGCATCTAAAAGTTCACAGCCAAGAGAAGGCCTTCGTGTGTCCCGTTTGCGGCAAAAGCTTCAGCAGGAGAGGACATCTTAGTAACCATAAAAAAATTCACAACGGGGGAAAGCCCATTTCCTATTCCGAAGGCGGCAATAAACGCTTCCCCCACAGCAGCTACACGCGGAAGAGATCGTTTCAGTGCCCCGAATGCGGAAAATGCTTCCCGAGCCGCTGCCACCTCGACAGACACCAGCGTGTCCATACTGGGGAGAAACCGTTTTCGTGCGCGGAATGCGACAAGCGCTTCACCGACCGCTCGGGCTTGGTCATACATCAAAGGATCCACACGGGGGAGAAGCCTTATGCTTGTTACGAGTGTGGGAAACGGTTCAGAGACCGCTCGGGACTCGTAGTCCACCAAAGGACGCATACTGGCGAGCAGCCTTACAAATGCCTCCAATGCGGGAAGTGCTTTCACAATCGGACACGTCTTGACCACCACAAGAGCGTCCACGCCGAGGAGAAGGCCTTCACCTGTTCTCAGTGCGATCAGGTCTTCCTGGACGTCACCGCTTTTGCTTTGCATCAGCGCGCTCATTTTGCTCAAGTGGGAACGGAAAGCTACCCTCCCCAGTTGCTTTCCAAGCAAAGCCAGGAAGCACCCCAGTTGTTTTTGTGCCCGGAGTGCGGGAAAAGCTTTGACGATCCATCCGTTCTCTCTCTACACATAAGCACCCACCGAATAAATCCAACCAAAAGTTTCTCTGAGCCTACGCATTTCGAACCGCAGCACAAGATTGCTGCTGCCAAGCTGTACCCGCGTTCAGAAGGTGAACAATCAAGTCAGTTTGCAAGTCAGGGAACGCACGGGTTACATGCGTGTTCCCAGTGCAATCAGAGGTTTTCTGATCTTGCGAGTCTTACGGCTCACGAACAGCAACATTCGGAAGAGAAACCCTATAAATGTGCAAAGTGTGGGGAATGTTTTGTGCTGAAGGGTTATCTAATGAAGCACTTGGAGACTCATGTGTGATGTGTGTGTCTAGGACAGTCAAAGGGCAGTTGCTAAACATGTTGGATATGCATGCCGGTGGGAGCTGAATGGCAGCCAGTAAAGGTGGCCAGAGACAAGGTCTGATCAGCAATGGGCACAGTCTACGAGATCGGGTGGGATCAACCAAAATACAACCTAGGCAGAAGCCTAGACCCTGGGAAATGTCCAGTTACCAACTTTAGGAAGCCCGGGGGGTTAGTGCAGCTTGTGAAAGTTGTGAAAGGGATGCAGTTGTAGGTCATTAGTGACTGATGGCGAGGGACCATGATGGTACAGACATTGAAGGCCTATTGCCATCCTTATCAGTCGAACAGATGGGGAAGCCCAAGCTGCTACATTGCCTAGGGCCCCCATTCTGCCTTAAACTGTCTCTCTGGTTGGGAGCAGCTGTATTTCAGAGACCACTGACAGTATAGATAGTGTTGTAGGTCTGGGGGCAACAGACAACCTCACGGTTTGAAGTGTTTCCCAAACAATTGCGGACTTCTCTTGTATTCAGCTCAGCTGTCTCTTTTTAGACAACTGCAAGCCGTCTCTTGGCAGGTTTTTCGTGTCAAGCTGTCACATCCCCCTACCTGCTCATGGGGTGTTGGTTGGCTATGCCCACTGACAGGCAGTCAATCGCAGTGCCTTAAAGGAGAAGTTCACATTAGGTTACAAAATAATAAATGAGCAATGCTCAAGGAGGGGAAGTATTGATTATTTCATGTAGCGTGCGTGGTTTCTTGTTCCCTAGATGACATACAAACGAGCAAGTATTTTCATATGTGTGTCAGGTGTGCCCGTTAGCCTCTTCGTTTTGGGGTCTTTGAGTTTGAAACTAATGGAATGGAGCGTCGTGTGTCGCAATATCGGCAAGATCCCTCCGTTATTGAAATACGTTGACCCTACACAGTGCACAAGAGCAGACTTAAGAGTCTAGTCAGTCAATCAGTGACACGGGAAATTGCATTGCTAGTTTGAATGGCAGACTGGGGGCTGGAGGTCTTACCTAAGCAATATTTGGGTGAGGGGGAGGAGCATTTGCATATATATGGAAAGCATGTGTGGTTTCCATGGAGGAGTGACCATAAGTCAGGATTTGGGTCCCTAAGCGCTTATACTTTTCAGAGTTTCAGCAGACTACTTGCTGTATGGTCATGTTGGCTTTCCAGTGGGTCATTCTTTAACGAGAGGCCAGCTCCAAGTGAAATCAAGAAGCAACTTGCTTCTATTTCCAGAGTCAATTTCTGTGCAACCAAGAGAGCTGTAAAGGTGGAAGGTGTTGGCTAAATAAAAGATCAGTCCACCAGTTGCAGGTGCAGTCTGTTAGGCCAAGTCATCCGATGGCAGGTTGGCCACTGTTACTGGAACCGTTCCCGCCAAAATATGAGATAACCCTTGTAATGGCCGCGGCTGAGGTACAGACCTGGGCCTAGAGAATCCCCCCCGGAGCTCCAGAGAGATATAACAGCTGTTCAGTCTTTTGACCCAAAACTGAAAATTAAACTTAGGTGAAGTGCCTGCTGAAGTCCAGCCTGTTACAATGTTGAAGGGAATCCCAGCCTAGGGCATGCTATAAAAGGTTCAAGGTCGTTGTTTAAAAAGGGGTACAATAGGTTGATACAAGTTGAATCAACTTGGGACCCATTTTGTTGTTTTCTGTAGCCAAAATTTGGCCTGTGGCATTCCAAAAACATGAGAAGATCTACAGCTACAAGAGTCTCTTATCACCTGCAGTTCTGTTCTATTACTGATGGAGATGACCTCATGACTAGCCAGATGTTTCTGATGCTGACTGGTCATCTTATCACTACAGAAGGGTTTCTGATCCACATGAGTTGCCTGCCCTCCAACATGCAGGGGAAATATAAACAAAGGGAGAGACCCAGTCGAGCAAAGACCAATTGGGTTAAACCATGGTTCACTTTACTGCAGGGCAAGCCTTATTTTCACTAGCTCGACCAATGGCTGAACTGGTAGTTGCGGATATGGGGGAACGTATTCCATTTCTTTTCTTATCCACTATCCAGTTCTTTGTACCTGAGCAGCCAAAACCAGGCCCAAGTGCTGCCAAATGCTAGTGTGTCGGAACATACAGTCAATGGTGGATCAGGGGAGCGTATGGAATTCCTTCTCATACCTACAATGCAGTTCTTAGTACCCGAGATGCCAAAACCAGGCCCAAGTGCTGCCAAATGTTAGTGTGTCGGAACATACACTTGATGGTGGATCAGGGTGTGTTCCACGCACCACGCTGGCCAAAGTAAGAGGTCCACCTTACTCTATCTACATAGAGTAAGGTGGACCTCTTACTTTGGCCAGCGTGGTGCGTAGGTAACAAGGGATTGGAAAACTCTAGAGGTGAAATAGTAAACCTTTTATAACCTTCCCACATACGTGATCTTGATGATGTTGACCTTTCATTTGTGGCATTGGCGGAAGATATTTTGATGTTTTCTTAGACAGCATTTGCCATGGACTCTTTTAGCACAAAGTATATTTCAACATGGCAGTGGCCATACGGCTAAAACCTTTTAATTAAAGATATAATCTAGTATTAATTGAAAATAAATCCCTGAATTGCTCGTGGGCTACTTGTCCAGCGCCTCCATTTTTTTTATCCATTCGTAGTAGTAGTACTGACATCCACGCCGGGGTTTTTAGTGTGTGTGAAGGTTCTCATTCATCCAGGTCACGGTATATCTGTACACAATAAGTCAAGGCAACTGGACTCGCTGTATTTTTCTTGAAGACGTTTCACTCGTCATCCGACCAGCTTTCTCAATTCAGAATGACTTGTACAAAAATTCTATGGGAATAAATATGGTGAATGTTGCTCCAATCCACATAATTTGTTAGTCACAACCAGGTGTTGGTTGCATTTGCATAATTGGAGCTAGAAGCAGTGGTGTATTTTGGCTTTATGCTGCCCTAGGCAAGACGAAACTCTGGCACCCCCTCAAATCTAAATTTGCCCCACCCCATCCTGGTTAGGACATTTTGCGCAACCTGTCAGTCACTGGATACAGCGCACACGGGGTCTCAGGTGAGCTGTGCATAGTCTCAGGTGGGCTGTACGGGGTTTCAGGAGAGCTGTGCGGGATCTATGGTGGGCTGAGTGGGGTCTATGATGGCCAAAGGCAAGTCCAGCCCTGTCCGACTCATTGGTTCGGGATAGCCTTTTCTGCTGCCCCCCCCCCCAGAAAGTGCCGCTCTAGGCAAATGCCTAGTTTGTCTTGCTTGGCTTCTCCATTTTTACATAAATGGACTCTTCCACACCTCTTTGAAACCAGTCCTCCTCCCTGTCTAGGATGCGTACTTGACTGTCTTCAAAGGAGTGACCTTTTTCCTTTAGGTGTAGGTATACTGCCGAATCCTGACTAGAGGGTTTGGCTCATCTCTGGGGTCAAAATCGATCTCAATTTGACCCCCATCAACTATTAAAAAGTTGAACAAAGGTTCTGATTTTTTTTTTTTTCTTTAACACAATTCTGACTGGTGTATGGCCAGTTTAACCCTGGGCCTTGAACCTAACGCTAGGCCCTCAACCTAAAGCTGGATGGAGGAATCTCCCGCCGGGCCAAGCTTCAGTATCTTGCTAGTCGGTCCCCGCTGGCTCTCAAAATACCTGAACATTTCCTGCATCCAATCAGATTGTTCGGGTACTTTGAGAGCCAGCGGGGTCGGGTAGCAAGATACTGAAGCTTGGCCCGGCGGGAGATTCCTCCATCCAGC